GTAATCCTAATTCGCTTCTAAAAGCATCTGCAATGGCTTCTGCAGCATGATCATAGTCTTGTGGTGTCCAAGACTTTTCCTTGGACAGTAAGGAAAATTGTCCCATCGTTCTCTTCTCCAAGCGACTGAGCGGTCGCCGGAGCCTTCTCTCGACATCCAGCACAGGCTTCACGTAGCGCCAGTAAAAGCGGTACAGTGCAGCTCCAAAGAGTGCGAAACGCTTATGCATAGCCTCATACATGTGGGCTAGGCCGGAGCCGCCTAGGCGCACGCGACCGCTCAGAAGTGCCAAAGCTAAACGATGTTTTTCCATGATGAATAGATGTTGGTTCAGACCCATCTCTTTCGCTTCCTCTTCTTCCAGCTGGGAAAGATCTGTGGATAACAGCGAAGTCAATTCTTTGTCCGTATTGACAGGACCGGATGGACTAGCAGCTCTTGCTCGAACCTGTTGGTCTTGACCCTGTCTGGCACCAGGAGCAGTACCTCCACCGCCAATTCTAGGTACCACAGTAGTACCAGCAGTGGGTGGATACAGCTTTTCTACGATGTCTTCCATTGCTTCCAAGGAAATGTCGGCTCCTTTTTGTTCAGCTCGCTTACTCAAGACTCTAAATTTAGCATCAGTATCCAGTAATTCGAGCTCTACTTCGTCTCCTCGCAAACCCAAGACGTCTTCAGCCTGTTTTAGAGCCATCATTTCTTGCAAACGGTGTTCTCCGAGTACATCCTGAACATAGCTCACGATCTGCTTGCGTGCTAGCTGTCGAGGGAAAGCCGGATCCATCTGAATACTTCGCGTCAATGCGGCAGAAATTTCCATCTCCTGTTGCTGAATCTCTAGTTGTTCCGAAGATGCGGATGTGCCAGATGAATAGTCCTGGTTAGAACTTGAAGAACCGCCTTGAAGCAAAGGCACAGAAGTAGAGCTCATGTTGTCAGAGGCAGCTTGATAAGCGGCCTCTTCTGGCAGTAACACCGCTACCGCAGCTTGCACCCGTAAAGAACTGTCGAGCATGCGTTCCATTGCTGCATCTTTTTCCATCCTGGCAGATTGAATGCCCATTTCGGTCATGAAATTTTGCTCTAATGATTGCTCTAGATGACGCATTTCTAGGCCCGTCAAACCTCCGACATTGGCATGATCTGATCCGCCGCGAAAGGCCTTAAACACAGAGAAGTCTACGTCCTCCGAGTCCCCTTCTTCATCAGCCAATAGCTCGCGCATCATCTGACGTTCACGTAGGTGGAAACGACTTGCGCGGCCAACGATTTCGCTTGCGACGGCCACCAACAAAGCGCCAGAACCCTCAGCGTCGGGTGCAAATCGGAAACCAGGCTGAACGCGAACTTTTAAGGAGTCACGAGTCGGTAGGCGTAGTAGAAATTTGTGGGGCTCTTGAGGAGTATCACTCACTCCTTCGGGACTACGTGGAAACGAGAGGGACAAAGCGCGTTGTTGTCCTACTTCAGCAGTTGCCGTAGTAGTAGGTTTGTTTTTTGTAATCCAACTTTCTGTCGCAGCCCTCACGAACTCTTCAAAAGCCAAGCGTACTTCTTCCGGAATGCCATGCTGCTCCGCAACGTGGGATTTGCCTTGCAACAAGGTTGGTGGAGTCGCATTTCGTCCTGACATATGCAATTTCAGAGTCACTCCCAATCGCGTTTTCACCTTCATTCTCCCAGTAGAATCTGCACTGCCAGAAGCGCCAGTAGTTCCCACTAGATGAACATCCACAGCCAGAAGGCCCCACAGGGAAGTCGACGGCTTGGACCATCTTTCACCGTTGGCAGAATCTTCGTTTCGATCTTTAGGTAGCAAGTACGGAATGAAGAGGGAGCGAACCAATTTCACTTGGTTTTTAGTACCTTTTTTCGGATGGGAAGCATCTTGTGGTCCTTCTCCAGCAGCTCCACCTGTACCAGCAGTGCCATCATGCTCTTCGTCTCCTTCACCAGAAAACGAATCTCCATGCCTACCTTCCAGGCCTCCGTCTGCTCCAGAGAACATTTTATCTTCATCCAGAAGAGATTGAAAATATTTCCCTTCATCATGATCCTGTAAACTCCCGTCTAGACCCTGGTTCATTTCTCTCGCCGCTGAGAGGACACTTACAAGCTCTGCGTACATGTCGTTGAGCGTCTGGCCCCAGTGATCGGTGTAGTTAGCTTTTAGTCGTGTGCTTTCTTCCGAGGGGGTGATCTTCGAACCCGGCGAATGAAGAATGGACAATCTCGGTTCGCGCACATTGCCACTTCCTGGCCTCAAATCCGTAGCGCCATCTTTGATCGACAGGCCACTTACGTCAGCTTTTTTAAGAAACTCCACGAAGTCTCCTGGGAAAGCGTAGTCCTTCTTGGCCTTGAGGAACGACTGACGGAGCATGTACAGTTCCAATCTCAATGGTGGCGTCCTAAAATCGCCAGACGAGCGGTTCCAGGCAGGACCTATGGTTGCTGGAGATAGGTTGTCGAATGCGCTAGAACTTCTACCTGAGGTACTAGCAGAACCTCCAGGATCGGCAAGTAGTTTCCAAGCACCCATTCTTCGAAACTGACCCCATCGTTCAGAGCTTGTGTAGGCTTCGGCAGCTGCTTTTACCCTTATTTCGCTAGTCCCACGAGTACCGGAAGAGCTGTGAAAGAGGGCATCTGCAAAAGCTTGTGCACGGGCAAACCGTGACTCCGCAAAGATAGTAGAACCACTTCTACCAGATAAACTTGCACTTGATGAAACATCGACGACCACTGGCATCGTATCGATTTGTCCAAAGATCTGAGCCAAAAGCACAAGTCCATTTCGAGCATGATGGGCATTTCCTCCACCAACCAATTCTTCTTCAACCAAGACAGATGGCAACACCTGTGCGCGCACGTAAGCTCTTGTTTCCTTAAAATGCATGAGCCGGTTTTGCAAAGTTCCTTGTGCACTACCCTCCAAAGCTGTCCACGGACGCTCACGTAAAGCCAAATGTCTCAATAACAATTCGACTTGTCCCGCTGTCCAGGCGATGCTCACAGCTCCTGAATCAAGATGACTCTTCGCACAAGCCTGAGACTGACAGGATTCGTTTTCTCCACCATCTTTTGTTGTTGCTCCACCAAGTTTGGCCAGCTGCTGTAGGGTAAAATGGGTGCTGTCCAATCCACTAGAACCCGCACCATGCCCCTCTCTTTTATCATGCGCAAATAGATGCCACTTGGAAGCGAAGTCCACACGAGCCTCTTCACTTTCCTCGTCTTTCTCGGTGCGAGCGATTTCGGTGAAAGATAAGGACATCGAAGTTGTACTGGTAGTTGCTCCTACGGATAGTGTGTAGCAGCTCAGATTCAGGAGGAGGCAAATGAATGCTCTACCACTCCAGAGTGAAAGTGATAGTGAGACCATCTTCCACATGTTGATTGTTGTATTTGTAGCAGATGTCAAAATCAAAAAAATTATCTACTAAGTATCAAGTAGTAGGGATTAAAATAGCTGTTCGTGTTCTTCGCAGAGATGGTTCATTGCTTGATTGTACTTGTTTTACTCGTGTATCGATGAAGCATTCTCAAACCGACCAAGCAACCTTATGAAACTATAGAACTACAGACACCATAAAAAAAGTTGAAAAGACGCATCAACAACGGGGAGATGGTCAAAAAGGGAGATGATTGAATACGTAATACATGCTTTTACTTTATGTCTATCTTTTTAACAGCATCAATGTTCATGAGAAACCAGTCAACATCTAAAACGTTCATGATCAATCTTACCGAAAAAGCAGTAGTACAGATTGACAGATTTTCATTGTGATTTACGTACGAGCTAACGGTTGAATAAAACGTTGAAGGTAGGCCGCGAGAAATTGTTCTTTTGTTTAGATGGAGAATGCTTGTTCTGCTTCTGCCATGATAAAAAATTATTCAGATGATGGGTCATTTTTTGTTATCATTACGTCTAGTGGTTGCTTTTCAGGAATTGGAAGATTATTGAGAAAAGAAAATTTTACAAGGTGGCAAGCGATTTGTATGAATGATCAATATCTTAAATGGTAATGACAGCAACAGCATGCTCTACTTGGTAGTGATAATGAAGAACAGAAGATACAGGCATGTATTCTCCATGAAAGGAAGGACCGCGCAGGGGCCATAGCGCTAGAGTCACACCCACCTCGTCGATGAGTCTACTCTTGAATGACTTCTAACATGCTTGTACATAGTTTGAGGTGACTATCCACCTGCTCCATAGTACTAGATATATATTCTTGGGTCATAAAAACTCCTTTCTACAAACCACAGTGGCATATTCAACCAAACCACGGCTTTATTTTGACACAGGAACTTACTTACTTCGTTCTAGGTTAAAAGATCGATTCGCTACAAAGACAAAAGTTGCCAATGCTGAGTAGCTCAATCGTCCTGAGGAGTTTTGGGAGAGAGAGGATGGTGATTCTCAGAGAGGATGAGGAGGGAGAGGGAAGGGGACTGGGTCATGATGAATATATAAATATGAAGAGTCGTCGTAGAACTCCACATGATACTAGTGTTCATGTTCAAAGTCTGAGACGACGAGAGCTTTTTTAGTACCGAGCAAGACTCAGTCGTGTTCATTGGAGGACACGAAGCGGAGGAGGGAGTGGTGCTTGGTACAAGTAAACATTTTCTGTGTCCTCTCCGTTTTACAAGATCTACTACGCTACAAGATCTTAAAACAGAGTAAGAGATCCAAGAGACAGTACTGATATCACCAGTCCACGGTGGCCGATCTTGAAGGCGTGCGGTTGCGATAATTGTGGTATATTTGATTCCAGATAGTGCATTGACGACCTTGTGTTTTTCTCCTTTCTCGGATGGTGTCTTAATAGCGATCGTGTTTCGTTTTTTCTTGTGAACGTTGCTCGGCTGTATGCTTCTCTCGACCGAGTGGTTGTAGATCTTTGACTTTTTAAACCGTTGTCCTTCACATGTTGCTTACTTAGGACTCCAGCCCAAGCGGCTTTTTCCGCGAAGGGTTGTTGATGATCTCGATGAAGCGGTTTGCCTACAGACTTTGAGCTTGGTTGCGATCGGCTTCACATCACCTCCCCGTAGCGAGGTCGCCTCAACAAAATATCAAAAACCTAGGCACCGATTTCGTGTGTGTTACAAGAACATGTAGACGATCTGCAATGCCCATTGTCATTGATCTCAACGAAAATAAGTACTCAAGAAGGATGATGATGGATCTTCATTGTCGGAACTCGGAAAAATTCAAGCGAATATTGATGCTACTACTGCTACAAAGAGAGTCAGAAGATGAAAAGGCTTCTAATCGTGACCGTTTTGATCAGAAAAAATCACTGTGTTTACTCTGCCAGTGCCGGTCCTTGTTGAAATCGATCTCACGACAGGGCTTTCCACGTTGCGACAACGAGCGATACCATTGTTTTTCGTTTATCTGGTCAAATCGATCGTACCAATCTGCAAGTTGTGGACTTACTGGAGAGTAGTTTCTTGTACTTCTACTACTTGTGCTTGTTCTGCTACTACTCGTTTCCTGACCCTTGTCTGGTGCTGGCAGATCCACATCGCGCCACATTCTGGGCAAAATACTTTCCATTCCCAATCTGCACAACATACGATCCTCCACAAGCATGTCGACTAGAGAGGGTGACGACAGCTCAGATTCGTCTTCTTGCCAAGCTCGGACCGAACTCGCCAAACGCATTCTAAACGGCAAATCCATGAAGCGAGCGAAACTCATAGAGATCGCGCCGAAAACACCCTGTCGTGTTTCTCGGGTGGGTATTAGAAGATGAAAGGTGTTGTTCTCATTCATGATGAAGACTATGCTCACACAGGTGAGTGGTATCATCAGATTGGGAACCTTGTACTTAACAAGACTGTATTTGTAACAAGACCGTATATTCAGGAACCTTGTACCTAACAAGACTATATTCACCTTGTACTTTTACACTATTTGTACTTATAGTCCAAGACTATAAATATTCAGGAACGAAGATGGATTGGGGCAAAAATGGTTAAAGAGTATTTGAGCACTAAGAGCCTTAAGAGTAATTCATCGTATCCCGCCTCCGGATCACCTAGACCAGGAGACTTGATCCCCAGTGTCATATGTACTTCCATTACCCAAGCACGACCGGTCGAATCAACGATCATGTCAGCCACAAAGTGGAATCCCTGACTTGCACAAGCCTTGGTTTCGTAAGCGTCGGAGGGAACGCCTCTGTTTGTTTTTTAACGATGTAGTTGGAGGGTCTAGTAGTTGGTCTTCTTGGTGAATGAAAATTGAAAGTCTTACTTGATAAATACTGGATAGTTGAAATGATAAGGGGATGTTGTACGTGATCTGTTCCCACAGTGGTACATCATCCGGACTTTCAACAACAGGTGTAGTTGATGGCGTTTCCTCCACACGCAAGTCCGATGACTCCTCCACTTTCGTGGCTCCTCGCACATTTCGTGGCTCCTCGCACATTTCGTGACGTACTCCTAGCATCCATATAGCCAATGAACGTTTGATATTGGCCCACACCGTATCCGGGTCCATCCCGTTTTCTTTGCGAACAAAGCGCTCTAGCCACTGCTCCAAACTGCCTCCACTCCAACCAGGAACGAAGTCATCAGCCAGGATCTTGGGAATGTGATGCGTCACATGCATCAGCTTGCTACTCCTCAAATCCAAATCATTGGTGGTGTAATTCTTTTTGAGCGTGCCACTTCGATAGTAACCATGTCGGGACAAATACACCCGCAAAGGGTCTAGATGGGTGAACCCTTGTATCCGAATGTCGGTTTTTACTATTGTATCCACGCGCTCAATCTCGCCACCTGGGGTTGCGCGCACGCTCCCCACACGACCGAGGACCGGATCGGAGACGTAGAGTTGCACAGGAGTATGAAGATGGGATAAAAAAGTGATCGACGTCTTTTCTCAGTATATCTTTATCATGATTAGAATGGATGTCAGCAATTGAAACCATTTGTACTTGTACGTCTGGTGAACTAGTATTCATAAAGAGCTTTCTCCTCGCTATCCAATCTTCCACCGACCCAACCCGGGCTTTTGCCGTCAGGAGCGCAAGCGCCGCTATGAAATTCAGTGTAGTCCGCAATCCAACATCCGAAGCCCTTTTGCCAGTTCCATACTGTACAATCGAAGGTTAATGCGCCTTGTATATGAAGGGTAAAGATGATGCAGCCGAGATTCTCATGTCCATTTTGACGGTGATACCATCAAGAAGTGAATCAGTATCAGGCGCTTTTTCTTTTTGTTCTTATGATAGTACCCAATCATAAATGTGACGTCTCTCGCATGCTTGTCGGCACAAGCGCTCGCTAGCGTCCGCCTCCGGTAATGCTGCGAGTCCATAGCATTGCGTATTGTGTAAACGCGAAAACTGGGAATTATTAGAGCGGACAAGATTGTACTAGAATACTGATGGAGTGTCGAGAAAGAAAATGTCTCACGCTCAGATAACAAGATTTAGAATTAATAGTTGTGGTGGAGCTGCCGACCTAAGAACTAGAAAAAAGAAAGACCAGATTATATATAATATTAGTTGTATTACATCACCACCATAAAACCCCTTGCCTTTTCCGTCAATTCGTGCAGATTTCGAGTGAGCTCAATCCCCTGTCCTCCCCACATAGCGCCTGGCTTCCAGATGTAGCAAGCGTTGCGCACTTCACTACTAAACGACCACAACTCATTCTGATCCTCTGGTAGGAAAAAACAGGGAGGATAAAATCCTGGTAGGTGATCCAAGTCCCATCTGCGGAGCATCCTGCGGAATAATCGACACTGCATGTCTTTTTCCGACAACTTGCCAAGTAACTTGGCGGAGATGACAAGTTGTTCACGACGTGGAAGTTTTTCCAGTTGCGTGCGTTTTAATTCGCCGTTCCAGGTACAAGATAACTGCCGTTTTGAAGTCGTCGTGGGACTGGTGGTACTTTTAGGTTGTGCTTGTGTAGTTTCTTCTTTTTTAACTACATTGTCGCTAACCAATGATGCATCACTTTGTTGCTCTACCTCTACAGCTACTGCATTCTTACCACTGCGCCGCGTGTTGCGTTCCTTTGTGCGATCTCCTCGCTTCTTTTTCCGTGTTTTTGCAGCCTTTCGACTGTAGTATTCGTCATAGAAGTGGCCGTCTTCGCTTGGATTCTTATTATTTTTATCCTCTTTCTCTGCTACTACTTCTACAGCACCAGGAGCTGCAGTGGTAGCCTTGACTATCTTTTCGTCAGTACCAGTAGTATCATCGTTTCGCTCCACCTCCTCTCCGCCCTTGTTCTCAAGAATCACCCCTACTTCACTACACTTTTTGTCCATCTCAACAAGATTTCCGTCACTATTGGACACGTAGATGAAGTTCAGGTCCCACTCGTCGTTTGCACTATTGCGTATCCTATGGCCTGTCAGGGAGTCCGAAGGCTGGTGGACGAAGGAGATTGAAAAAAACTCGGCTAAGGTTTTTCGTAAGTCCAAATAGATCAGGTCGACTGGAAAGTCCACCATAGCTGGATCGAGGTAAGCCAGTCCGTGATTCATTCCGAAGACTAGAAAGCGGTATAATCTTGCGCCGGATTGATCTCGTGCTGTTGTTGACTCCGTCATCATGCCTTCATCACTTGTAGTTGAGGTTGGTGTCTCGATCAGAGGGACCATGTCAGCATCTGTATCGTAGAAAGTCTTTTCGGAATTCAAGGCTTGCATATAGTCATGTACCAGCGAAGCGTGCAGATGGTCGTGGTCCTGTGCTAATCTACCTCGATTCAACGGCTGCTCCACAGCGATACGGAGTTCTGCGTGAGGCGGTAGTAACGTTGACGTTGTTGACATGAGACTAGGCGAGTCTCTGTTCCAAACTTGCGCGTTTGTCACTGTCACAAATCCGTTTGCGTTGGGCGCCAGCATTGCCACCAAATCTTGCGAGTGAGGATCATCCGCTCGATCATGCTTGTGGAGATTGTCCGTTGGTTCATGATACCGCATGAGCAAAGCGAAAATAGGCCACTGTGAAGCTAGGACGTCATATGCGGCGTAGAAAGGCGACTTCCAATCGCACATTAGCTTTTGAGCTATATCCACTAATTTCAAGCGGCTATTTTTCCACAAAGACAGACCACTAGCTTGGTTTTTCGTACGACTAAAAGTTTCCCCTTCCAAGTTGGTCAATTTCTCGACAACTTGGGCGAGCACCTCTCGATCAACTTCATCTATGTCTGATGACACAGCATCTTTACCTTCAAATATACCGTTCTTTTGCGCCGTCGCTAATATCTCGCCCAAAGCGACTACCCAAGCGGCTGCGGAATCTGAATTCAACGAACTTCCGTCCCAGGCCAGGGCTGAAAATGCAGCTGCGAAAGCAAACAGGCATGGTGGGCTTTTGTTTTCCACGTTTTCACCCTCATAGTTGTTCTTTAGAAGTGCCTCCCGCAGCAACGGCAAAGCAAACTCTCGCAACAGCCGCAAAGGCAAGCCTTGCAAATGCAAGCGCCTCTCTAGTCTATAACGCAGTTCCCTAGCGTAACTCGCTAACCGTATGTCTGGATTCTGACATTCTGACGCCCTATCCTCTTGATAACGGATAGTCTCCTGTAATTTGGCTAAGACGGGGAAGAGCGGCCAAGGCTGATGCACAGAATCTAGATATTCTTCGGAAAGAGGTGGACGGAAGTCAACCCCATCGACCAATGCGTGCCAAACTTCAGCGGTATGCGGTACGGGGCTTTCTCTAGTTGTCAAGGCGTTATGTGTTATGAAAGTAAGGTGGTGGACGGGAAAAAAGCATGCGTTTGTAGGTAATCAGATCGCGTGAACCAAAGTTATATTTTCACTTATTCGGATCGCAACTGCAATCAAGTGGGTGTGGGAGTGGGACACTACAACAAAATAATTCAATTGTTCCATTCCGGTGTCGGTCTTCCATTCATAAAGACATCAAGAGCTATATTCTGCGTAGCCAGCGGCACTGCGTAGTCGCGCAACGAGTGCAGGTCCAAGTCCCTTCTTTTTGCACCGTCCAAACCGTCTCCGCTAGCCTTCGATAGGCTCTCTGTCAGTGATCGCAAAAGTTCTAAACTATGACTACTTTCATCTGAGTCTGTTATTTCCCTACTCCTCGTTCTGCCAGACACGCTCTTACCAAGAGTCCCTCTCTGCTCGTCAATCGGCAACCGCAAAAAGTCTCTCCAGCGTAAACGACGAACGCTATCCCATAGAAGAAACAGACTGCTCCATCGCTCGTCTACTAGCAGAAAGATCCGGTTGAAAGCCACCATAATGAGAAATCCCAGTGGACAGCTCTCCTGGAGGCCATCGATTGGCGCTAGAAACTTGCTGAGCGAGTCGCCGGCGATGAATCCGCAATAGCCCCATGATGCGTGGATTAGAGTGAGATGATGAGAGGTAAACTATTCTTGAACAAATTCAAATTTCAAGGTACTTGATGAAGTGACTGATGCATGCACCAAAAATTTTTTTTACATCTTACTTCCGAGAAGAACAAGAATCTTTGGCCATCATAAATCCAACCCCTTGCACGATCGCCCTGCATGAAAAGGATGGCCGATCCAGCTGTAGCTTGTCAAGTCATGCTTGTAGTCCTCCCAAATGAGACCGTTAGGACCTACGCCACAAGTTGCTTCCTCTGGAGGAGGCGGATTGTCGTGATCGAAGGCATTTACGAAGGGCAGGAAGTAGAGCAGTCCTAGCAAAAGCACCCACCGCCGAACGGAGTCACGACCCAGCCCAACTGCTGAGTAGTTGTACATCTTTGGTACTCTGAGGACTCACCACGGCCGGGTCATCTTGTTTCTGGATTCTTGTGCGCCCACTTGACTGGAGCTGTCGTGGAGCAAGCTTCGCCCCCTAGCCGTCATCTCGTGGCAGCTTCATCTTCGAATCTTGTTCTTGCCAGATTGATTTTTCATCCACCGTGTTCGTTAAGTTCAGAACTCCCCGGCACGCTATTCTCCTACCTTGTTGATTCTGGTGCAGTTTGTGGTTGTGATAAAGAGAAATAAATCTGCATCGAAAGTATCTTCCTGCCCGGTGTTCTCCAAGGGAAATCCTACGGAAATTAGCTACCCGCTCCTGATCGTTCCACTTTCTTCCTAAGTTCTTGTCAGGTTGTTTTTCCATCCACCTTCTCTTCAGTGCCACCTGCAACATAGTACTGCTCTCTTTTGCCTCCTCGTCTCTCTTCAGTGTACTAGACGCAACTCATTCAGGCCGCTCAAAACTCTCTCAACCTCCATCGGCGCTCCTCAATTCCGCAGTAGTTTGCGGCAGTCAAGAACTCTAGATAGTCCTCCGGGGAACTCGGCATCAGTGCAAGAACGCATGTCTAGCATTCTGGTAGAAGTTTTAAGATCGGCATGAAGTACGGGTACTCCGTTGCGAAAGAAATCAATCACAAGATGTTCGAATTAATCCTGCGTTTGGCATGCGCAGTCACGCATGCGTTACGTACTTTACAGACATTAGAGGTTTTTTGTGGCGACTTGGTAAAAGAGAATGATCCACGTACTTTCACCACGGCAACTTCTTTGTTCATGTTCATGAGTTTTTTACTTGTGATTCTTGCTTGGAATAGCTTTTTTGAGACAGTTCTGTACAATAGAACGATTTTCGTATGTATCAAGTTCAGCGACTGTGTAAATCAGGGTCAAAAATTTCACTTCCAAGGAACTTTCTTCAACCTCAAAGAACATGGTTCTTCAAGGTTTCTCCAACTTTGTTTTCACTTCAATACCCATCACGGGTCGCTTCGTCTTGTTCGCTTTCTGGATTTTCGGCTTGTAAGTGACATGAACAGCCGTCTTTACTGGACTCTTTTGTGTGTCGACATTTTCGCCTGTCATGTCCATTCCCGTCGATAATCCAAGCTCCTCCAATTCTGCCAAGCTTTCCTCACGCAATCTAGCAGCAACCTCTGGATCTCTGTGGTACATCACTTCCGTGCGGATGGTGTATTTCAGTCCACTCTTCAGGCGGTCTCCACAATGCAGTAACTTTTGGAAAAACAGCAACACCCGTCCTGAACGTGGTCTGCAAGAGAAATCTCGACCCCCCTTGTTTGACATGCTACCGTCGAAAGCGAAAATCGTGCCACCACCTGTGGTGTTATCCTCTTGTTGGGCAAGTCGGGAAGCTTTTTGCTCATGGTCGAAAGGCTCATTATTTTGATCTGCTTCTCCGAAAACAATGTCATCATCTTCTTCGTCCTGCGCTTTAGCAGCAGCTTCTGCATCGTTCATCTCCTCGTCCGACACCGGCCTCACGTCCGTGAAATCGATATCTTCACTGTCATCCTCATTTTCCTCCTCGTCTACCTCCTCAGCACCAGCATAGAAGTCCGTAGTTCGTTTACTAGCCAGGTAGTCTGCTAGTACTGCTGCATCGGCGTTCTCGGTTCCAGCATCCTTATTACTTGTTTCACCTCCACCAACATCATTCAGATACAATTGAACCGTGATGAAGCTGCGCTCTTGCGTGTTGCGGTCTGTGTAGGTGCCATCCATGTGCCAGTCGAATATCTCACCAGGTTCATACCTGAGAAATCTCAGTCTAGGATTCAGTCTGCTCAAGTGCCAGGTTTCGCCACCGTTGAAAGAAAGAGTCGGTGGTAGAAGTAACGTTGCAGGTGTTCCTGTTGTCGTTCCGGATGTACTAGTTGTGCTCATTTCGGTAGCAGGAGTTTCGGCACCAGTAGAAGAAGTAGTAGACAGGGTTTTAGTTTCGATACTAGGTTTAGCGGGTACGCTGGAGGAAGATGATGACTCATCGTCCGCGTTCCCCTCTTGTTTTGACATGGGAAGCTGGTCTTGTACTTGCCGTTGAATAGAACTAGCAGTCGTTGTAGTTCCCTTCAACAGTCTGGAAAATAGTTCAGCCGCTAAAAAATGGCAGTCCACGATGACTCTGGAGTGGCTGCGGCCTTCGGTCACTTGCTGCCTCCCGCCTCCAATGTTTAGCATAGCGCGTTCGTACCCTAGCAGTTCTGAAAACTTGATCAGATTCAAACATTCTGCCTCGTCGATCAACCCGTCCGTCACAGAGACCAAGTTCATGCCGCGATCGAGCAGCCATTGAGGAATCGGTTGGGGCAGAGTTCTACCAGTGCTGAGTGTGGTTGTGTTGATTCCGGGAGTTGATGATGTTGTTGTAGAAGTACTCCACGTGTTGCTAGTCGTACGCCGTGTCGTGCTTGTGGGAAAGAGAACAGTCCCCACTGCATCTTCATCCTTCGTCGCTGTGGCATCGTAGGGAATTCCGAGATATTCGAATCGAGATTCCAGAGTGAAGACGTCGTCATCGCTCTCCTCCTCAAATCCAAAAGCGTCGAGACCAGGAAATTTGAACCCAAACATAGGCATCTTTTTGAAGAGCTCTTTTGACAAGTCAAGCAATCAATCAGATTGCCTCCACAGGGCCACGTTTCTTTTTTTTTGTAGGCCGAGAACGCCGGAAGCACCGACCTTCCCGCAAAAGGAACCAAAATAAAATCCAGTTCTATAGTAGCTGCTACCTAGAAGTCACACAAATAAGAACAAACTGGCTAAATGAAGAAAAAATTAGTTGCAAATTTCAGTGAAAAAAGTGGAAGCTTACTGTTTTTTATCGCCAAAAACTACTCAAACCACAGTAGAATAACTTTGCTACTTTTTCATACGATCGATAGAACCAAAACGCTACTAAAAACCTAAACCTGTAGAATGATGGCGACGACGATGATGATGTGAGATAGATGATGTTGGAGCTAGTCCTTTCCTTGATAGTTTGCATGTAGGGATACACCTAGGATATGAGAGAAAACTAACCGGTTGTTAGATATTTTATGATGAAGATCATGTTCGGAGGTGAGGATCGCGGTGCATTGATCGATTGACTGACTGATTGATGTGCCTGGCAAGAGGTATGACTGATTGTTGCACATGATCTATTGCATTTTTCATTTTTGGATCTAAATTTGTAGAACGCGAAAGCAACGAAAGGACATCAATAGCTCAGTTATCAAGACAGCTTGAATAGCAATTTTCATTCGTCTAGAACAAGCCTACCGCTCCTGCCCATCCACTCCCTTGCTTCCATGTTAGTACGCATGCTTCAAGGCTAAGTCAAGACTGTTGTTGTTCTTAGTATTGTGATGGATGGATCCCCATAAGAAAGGCCCTTCATCATTATCAATATCTGAATATCATTGTTCATTACGTAGTTCTAGTTGTAGTTGTTGCATCGAAATTTTTCAGTAATTTGTCTCTACTCACTTGATTTTGATAGTGAATCCTATTTCTACATGACGGATGCTAGTAATTATTTAGGGTACGCGGGGAGCCCGATCAAAAAATTACAGGCTGATCTATATGCCTGTACGTGAACGCAGCGCCCTGCCCTTTTTTACACATCAATCATATACATTTTCGACCCACGTCTTGGCGTTTCCAGATTCTGGTAGCTTCTAGTTCCGCGTCATGCGCACTAATATCAAGCGACCTCATAGAACTCCTTTACATCATATCCGACCTTATCGTATCTATAATATAGATTTACTTCTATTATACCTACTATACCATCTATGCTTGCTACCTGGCATGAACTACATGGAACAGCACTCCCTCTTCGACTCAATTTCCCACATCATTGGTTGGTCATGGTCATGCACAACTTCAAGTCTAACCCTCCCTCGTCAAGTTTAACGCAAATCTTACACAGAGCAACGGAGATCGCCTCATGGTTAGCATTTTGCCAGCTCTGTTACTCTCTTCAGTTTTTTGCCAGCTCAGTTGCACGAACTAAATAGCAAGAGGAGGATAAACAACATGCGATTGTCAGGAGTTGGGAGCATGTCATGAGATGAATCAATGTTGGCTTCCAACTCCATGACGACAGTGCATGTCGAACTAAATGTGAACTCATCTTACAACTAAACCACCAGAGGCAGCACTAGATCTAAAAGTTGTAGAGGAGGTAGTACTTTAACACCGAATGGAAGACTTCGTAGGCGATGTTTTTTATCAGAATAACCTCGGGCCATTCAATGCGTTTCGTAGGTCGCTTACTAGCGTCGTCCTCTCGTTTCTCATAAAATTCTTTTGGAAGTTATAAATATTGTTAGGAGAGGCACACATGCTTACTGTTACTCACACAATAGATCACTAACTAACTGTCATCAGGAGGACAGGGTAATCGGAGATATCAAATATCTGTGACTCTTGTGAACACTTCTTTCCAAGACCACATTGAATTTCTAAGTACCTAATGTAGATTAAGAAGTACTCCATTGCTGTCTTTGAATTGCAGCTACCTAAGACCATCTTGAGTGACCCTTCCTTTTCTAAGATGACGAGTACAGAACTCGCATCAAGAGTCTAGTCCCCACCTACTTCGAATTCCGAAGTGGACGCCTGTTCTTGATCTTGGATGCAAGCACGGAGCTCTTCTTCAAAACGTTTCTGCTGTTGGTCTGCGACAGACATCAATGCACTCAAGGAAGCACTCGTCGGATGATATGCTGCAGGTCCTGCAATTGGAAAAGTCGAGCTGGGTGCAAACGGAGTCGAAGATCCAGACGAAAATTCGAAAAACGGAGCCGACGAAAAAGGGCTTCCGCTTGGTCCAGATAAAATCGAAGCTGAAGACTGAGGACAAGAAACGGAGAAAACCGGCGGACCGGGGCTTAGGGCTTGTTCCACGTCTTCAATCGTCATTCGCGTACCATCGGAATGCAGAACAATTCCGTCTCGATTAGATGGAGATGTGGACTTATGTTGTTCGGCATATGAGAAGTAATAGAGTGATCGCCGGATCTTCAAACTTGTTGTGATGATTCTTTTGTGTAGCTCTAATGAGTAGTTATTCTTACTGTAAAAATGTATGTTGTAACGATCCCAAAAACATCAATGGCGGTCCTTAACGCTCGCAAATACCGCACGTTGCGGATTTTTTCCTGCTAAAAAAGGCGTTGGGGGCAGCTGAGCGGAGGGCGGAGGTGGTGGATCTACAAACAAGTGCGCAGTGGCCGGTCGTGGATCTACCAAGCCCAATCGCTTTTCTAAAAAATCCTGGCAGAAGAAAGCAGCTTCTCGACGGCATGCCGTCTCCAAATCCTGTTCCTGCACGACTTTTCTTAGCGTTCACAGTAATTCATTATGGTCAGAGTATTCTCAGCAATATCCAAGAAGGAAACTGAGACAAGTAGCAACCCTCTGTGAAGCTGAAGATGAATATAGATATCGTGAGCCTTAACTGTTCTTGGTCTGGTGCTTGACGCAGCTGGAATCTTTCCGCAGGGCTGATAAACTTTGACACCAGTAGCAAAAGTGGCAAGTGTTTGGTGAAGGACGGCAACAGCCGATTTTTTTCTTTGGCATCTGTCGGCAGAGGAGCTGGTGGACCATCATTGGCTGATGACGGTGGTAGTACAGGTACAGGAGCATTTTGTGTTTGTAGTGGGAGTTCTTCTTCTTCTTCTTCTTCTTGGGACGATGCAGATGCCAGTTCTGCTGGGTTACCTTGATGATGTGCTCGAAGAAGTCCTTGGAGGGTCACGATCCCATGCGCCGCTTCTAATAGTTGTTCTCGATTTTTGCGATTATTAGGAGGATAAGGAACGTCTTCGTCCACGTTCAATTCCAATTCCCACATTCTTCCAGTTGTTCCTGCAAGAGAAAAGTCGAAGTCCTCAGTACCTCCATATTTAAAAGTACTAGACGAAGAAGAGCTGGAGGCTGTCGTTGTAGTACCTGTCACAACACTGGGCTCTGAAGATGAACTGTGGAATCCAACTGCGTAGACCTGAGCACCCTCATAAAGGAAGATGTTGAAGCTCCACGATGCGAAGGCCATCTTCAACACCTTGTAGAATACGACCAAGATGGCCGAAGAGGAGAACCATGTGTTCATCTTCGCCATTTTCTTCTAATTTCTATCGAATAGCAACAAGAATATGACTAATCAACCACCAACAGTATGATTAGCTCACAAATGAAAACGAGCAAAACCTACAACAGTGCTGACAAGAAACTCTCTGACCTTATCACAGATACATAGATACTACTGGTTAGCGCCGTACTTCTCAGAAGTTGTATTCAGTATTTTCTTACGCGATTCTTCAGATCATTAGAGATGGAATCTCTATACCATTCAACTATTGGTGACGAAAATCAAAATCAAGATAAAACCAAACCTCCATCTGTACCTGCAGGATGATCATGACGCCAATGATGTGATCATAAAGCTGATAATGTAGAAGATGCTACCAATCGTAATGATGACTTGGCGAAGATACTGCCACTTTTCTAAAGATCGGTGTATGAGATCCTGCACTTTTCCCGTTTTTAGATCTGCACCGAACCAGAACGCAAAGGCAAAATGTTGACTCAGTTATTCAGCCTGAAGATCATCCGCACCAGAGGACGAACTGTTGCTACTAGAAAATTGGTCTTTTCTCACCTTGTCCAATGAGAGCCACAATTCCGATTACTCAGTTAAGACAGCCCCAGAATTCCGACTCAGGAAGAACAGGCTTGCCGCTGCCTTTCCATTTCCTCCTGTATCCATGATCGATGTGCATGCTTCAAGACTGCTTCAAGACTTCATAAAAATCTGCTCCTATGTGGCTCAATAAGAAAGGCCCTTCATCATTTTCATCATGTCAGATTCTGACTCAGAGGGTCTCCGCCGCACATTTTTTTTTCTTTTTGTATCCCAAGACCGCCAAAAGAGTGATCCCAGTTTTTTCCAGTTCGCAAACCGGCGGCAGGTGGAGTCCGGTTACCTCCTTATATTTTTGTTTGTATCCAATCGCCTGAGCACGAGATTGAGGTTTATTACAATGGGCAGCGTCGCTTTGTCCTCGGGATTCAGCTGCCCCACATCTTGCTGATCGTTTGCGCACGCTGATTACTCTCTCGACCAACAAGATGACGCTCAAGGCGAAGAGGATGAAGGGCGCCCGCGTTCGTTGTACCCATCGCAATTTGTTGCATGCAGCCCTTCTCCCTCCCACCAACCCACGCGGGGCGCGGGCGTCCTTTTGGGTCATTTTTTCGGAAAAACACTAGAAAAGGCTGCCAGAGTTGCCAGGTGCCGGCGCAAGGCGGGCACCCGCTACATCCATCAATCAATATATCAATGCGGCCCGCGCCGCTCCATCCTCTCACCCGTTTCGCGGACGGCGCGGGCCGCATTGATATAGAAGGGTGGGTGTAGCGGGTGCCCGCCTTGCGCCGTTACACCTCAAGCCAGTACACCCATCCAACAAAGGGCAGCAAGGCTGCCCTCCCGCGCGCCCGCTCACAATTTCAAGGAAGCCACGCTTGCCACGCGTGGCCTAACTCATCTTCTCTAAAGAGTAAGACTTCTCTAGTACTTTTGCCACCCAGACTTGCCTGAAGACTCCTTAGCAGAGAAAGATGTCCCAGAGCGCTCTCGCTAACTTTGCTAGTGTGTTATGCTATCTTTTTCTTCTCGTATTTGCTTTTCTTTTTTTACACGAACTCTATATCATTATTATTATGGTCATGCTATCTTTTTCTTCTCGTATTTGCTTTTCTTTTTTTACACGAACTCTATATCATTATTATTATGGTCTCGCCCTCTACTCAATTACGCACTGCTTTCGTCTGATTTCCTACTCCTTGTTTCAAACTAGCGAAAGCTCTTGAGGCAGCAGATTGTGTGGCGCTATGCAGTAGTTCTGAAATGTTGACGATCTCAGATTGCCTAGCACCTCTGCACCCGTGCGGAACTTCTCATCAACAGAAGTATACCGAGGAAATGTGACACACAGTAGCGACACTTTCGCTGATACAAAGACTGTTTAAGCCCGGTTGCAAATGTTTTAGAAAGTCGCGTCGTTATCTACTCAAACGGGGACCATGTACGTGCCTTACCTGACTCTTAAGAAAGACGTAGAAAACGGGTTCCACGCTGACAGCTTGAGTAGTTACGAGTAATAAGTCGCCAGAACAACTCGAAATCTCGCGACTTCTTATTGTACACAAATAAGCGAGCTAACTACTCCCCTCAAGAATTACTCATAACATATTTATATATATGAGCGAGACTCTAGTAGCTTGGCCTAGAGTCTCGAACAGGAAAATTTCGCCTACCGGATCTCTAAACTTCCAAGATCGGCTCAAGAAACAATAAGACCCTTAACTCAACAAAACGAATGGAAAATAATAAGAAAGAAACATCATTAAGCAAATTACAAGAAGCCCTACACAGTCGCGCTCCAGATGGGTCCTTCTTTCTTGACTTCCCCATAATATGACGAGAACAAAACTTACATCTCCACTAGCTTCAAGAGCCTCACCTCTACATTTGACGAAAAACTACTTACGCTCCCATGAGTCTCAAGAATTTTTCCTCAAAGCATTTTTGCTGCTCCTGACTTATAAAAAGAGCAGCAGAGCCACCTGCTACCGCAGGAGGGCATTGGCTCGTAGAAGGTGCGCTCGAACTGCTCGACCAAGATGAAGCCCCATGTGCTTGACTAGCATAGGACGCTTGGTCTTGACCTAACATACAGGAGCGAGATTCTTCTTCCCAACGTTTCTGCTGTTGGTCTGCGAGAGACAAGAGCTTAGAGCTAGGCATTTGGCTGGCATTCAAACAAGAAAGAGTAAATGAAGCCGGATAAAACAGAATGTAGTACTGTATTTGTAACATAATATAAGGTGGGTCAACATAATCTATGCGCTCATTTCAGCACGTGTCGATACTGTACTACTTAAGTAGGAGGTCCATAATCAATGTATTCAGGGAAGCACTCGTCGGACCGTATACGGCAGCTTCTGCAATCGCAGCAGTGGAACTGGACGAGGGGAACGGAGTCGATAAAAACGGACTAGACCCAGACCCAAAAGGTAGTGGAGGAGCTGACGAAAAAGGGCTCGATGCAGATAGCCCAGATCCATATGAAGCAAAAGGTGAAGACTCCCGACGGTAGAATTAGAGCCGTCACGCTGGCATCCCTCAGGGCATCCTTGGCTTCCTTTTCAAGTAGAAAAAGAGCCAGGGATGGTGGTGAGGCTGAGGATGTTTCAGCGGTAGCCTTAATAGAAAACCGGTTGACCGGAAGGGGGAAGGGCGGCCGCGTCTTCAAACTTCATTCGCTTGCCATCAGGATGTAAAGCTTTTCCGTTTGGGTTAGAGGTGTGGCACGTGGTGTTGATCTTCCTCTTTGATCACTTACGTACGAAACCAGTGCACATCACAGTCTAGTATGGCAGATAGATGAAGACATAGGCTCTGACTGTTCTCGAAAAAAAATCAAGTAAATACAAGTTCTTAACACTCGCAAAGATCGCACGTGGCGGATTGCCTGGTAGATAAGCAGGACCCTGCTCAGGAATTGCACCTTTCAGACCCAAACGTTGTCCCACATCATCGCAAAACAAAGCAGCTTCCCGGCAACGCACTGTCTCAAAATCTTGTAGATCATCTTGTTGGACGTGAAGACCTAGTACTTGTCCACCATGATCTTCAAGATCATGACCATCTAGTTGGAGGACGTGACCTTGTGGCCCATCTTGATGAAGATCTTCATGTTGGTTTCCTTGGTTCTCTGCGTCTGCAGTCTCATCCTTACGACCACAACATTGCTGGGCTACTTGACACAGCGCCAGTCTATCTGACGGATTGAGAAATTCTGAAAGCAGTAACATGTGAGGCCTGTGTTCGTAAAAGAACGGGAGAAGGCGACTTTTTTCTTCACTAGTTGGCACAGCTGCTAGGCCAGGAGTTGACAGGCGTCGCCGCACAGTACGACTTGGTGTCTGTAGTTCTTGCTGCTGAGATGGGGAACGTGCTGTCTCACCATGGAGGTGATCTTGCACACAAAGAAAGCCCGGCTGGGGCAATCCAAGGGGCAATCCACCCAATCGCTTCTCAGACTCGCGACATGTTTGAGACCTTTCCACTTCCTGGCTGCCTTCATTCATCGCTTCTAGAATAGCATCTACGTTGCTATGAGACGCCATTCTTCCCGTTCCCGCAAGAGAAAGGTCGGCCCCCACGTTGGACGCCATGTCCTCATCGGATGTGTTGTCTTCCCAATCGAGGCGCCCTGTGCCTGTCACGGCACTAGCGTGTGGCGACAGAAGAAGCGAATCTTTACTCCCACGACTGTAGTTCTCCTTGTCAAGAGAGCCAGCCATAGTTTCTACTTGAAGACTCTTGGCACTGCTTGTAGTTGTTGTCGATGTCGTCGCGCCAAGAAATAGTTGCCCAGCTGCGTGCACACCCTGAAGCACACCCCCAAGGTGGATGAAGCTCCACGGTGCGACGGCCATCTTCAACAGGTTGTAAAATACGTGTGCCCAAGACGCATACATCTTCGCGCTTGCCATTTTCATTCTCAGCATCTTTCTCGTCGTACTATAATTATATCGCGAAGTAGTTCCTTCGCGTACTTTCTAAGAATCACTATTCTGGTTCGTATCTAGTGAACGGGTAATGCGAGTACCTAAGCTTATCCTCTTGCTTGTTGTATGGTTATTTCTAGTATTAGTAGTTGTGCGTAGTAGTAGTAGTTTACCCTAATGGTCTAATAAATAATAGTAGTAAAAAGTAGTTTGCCCTTTCTCGTATGTTCTAATAAATTGTATGTCCTACAGTCAGTATCTTCTTAATCTTGAGTGAGTTGAATGCAGTATGTGAGTCGGCACGAGTGAGATTAATGCAGAGACACTAACCGTATCGAAATGGTCTGAAGACGCTATTAATGATTCCCCTACAACATCGAGTGCGAACAACAACAATGTATCGTGCTTTTTCCCTACGATCGTCCAGATTTAGTATCCTCACTTCCCACAGCATGAGCGCTCCTTTATTACCCATACACTTCAGAGCTAATACACTAGGACGCAGATGATTAGCTGCTTTTGGCTGGTCAACAAATGCTCAGAGATTGACTTTTTTTTTCATTCACCGTCGTGAGGAAAGACAACAAACGCAGGCACCTTTATGTTCTCTAATTTGAAGACGCAGTGCATACTTGCAGAAATGAAGCGACGGAAGCCTTTTTTTGACAAGTCAAACACCCTCCCTAGGACGAGATGAATTGAGAGACGGATTGAATCACATGCATGAAGATTCGCTTTAGAATGAACTAAAAGATGAATAGCAAAAGCAAGTAGAAGCGCCAGCTTTGATTTGCAGATTGATGCAGGCTTGAGATTCCGAACAAGCACAATTGGCGCACAGACGACAAAGACCACATCCCAGATGTTTTCGCATGTGACCACGAGTCAGATTGGATTTTCAAAACGTAAATAATTTTCTTGGAGAAAGACAATATTATATTTTTATTAGTATCATCTGACAGAACACACACAATTTTCCAAGCAATCTTGTTGTGCTTGCTGCTACGTCTCACCTCAGGGAAGGTGATCTTCAAACGTCTTTGATTTCGCAGAACAGACATTTCTGTACTGTCAGTTTCAAAAATCATATCCGCGATATCCCTGTCCCGTGAGCTTATCACCTTCTGCCTGTAACCAATCTAGCCAGCCTGGATCCTGTTCTTGGTGAGCTTGTCTACGCTGATCCACGACTCTATTAAAGGTTGAAGCAATTCATTTTTTAGTGGCCATCTCGTCAAGTAAAGAGCGAAGGCTTAATATGATAGATAAAAATGAAATGTTTCAACTCTTAAGCTTAACTCTACCAGCATTTCTTCCATTATTGACGGGGCCACCACCTCCAGCAGCTACCCTCACATTCCCAGCATCCACAATCATCTCGTCATCCTTCTCACGACGTCCGAACCAACGACCAAAAAAGTTGGGAACTAGAGCAGCTTGTTGCTGGTCTCCGTCTCCCCGTTCTTGTTGCTGGTCACCCTGATTGCCGTAGTTGTTCTGTTGTTGAGCAGCATGATGGGCGTTCAAGTCTTGTTCGCTGGCTGGCACATAGACCGCCTTCTTGCCTTTGACGCCTTCTGGACGGACGATACAATAGTCTTCGTAAGGGCCGACTGTTAGAAGAACTACCGCTTGTGTTCAGTTTAATATTCAGTATATTCTGAGCGAGTGGCAAACCTTTTCAGGTCGAATCTTGATCTTGATCTCCTAGACAGAAGTAGAAACAACCAATGCATTCCACCTTAGCTTCTGGTAATGCGCGTAGTGGTTTTCCTTCTCCACTTTTTGACCACAAACGTAGCAAAAATAAGTTTTGTTACGACACACAGGACTAGGACACTGCATGAAATTGCAGCCGGCCTCACGCTCCACAGGCACTCCACAGACAGGACAGCGACACCAGTTTTCTTGGTTTGATTAGCCGAGGAGAAGTTTTTTATAGGAGCATGATATTGACACTATATGGGGAGAAGAAAGCTTTTTCGCTCTACGTCTGCATCAATTCTCAAATCTCAATCGTGTGGTTCTACAACCAGAACCACTTCCACTATTGCAAACTAACTAATAATTTCCATAGTCATAAGTCAACAAATCCTCCAATCTTTTGTCTCCCTCCGAATTTGCTTCGCGCCAGCGTCGAAAGGCTTCGCAGGATGGGAATTGAGGATGCGGCTCTTCTCCACAGGAAGGGCAGGACTCAGTACCACAAGACGCGCACTTCATCGCCGCTTCCTCCATATCGACGATGACCTGTAGATCACACACACGACAACGCGCGATCTTACCCGTCTTGGGGCGGAACAATTTGAGACGTGGATTAGAGAGATTAGTCGGGGGAAAGAATGCTGCAGCTACAGAGGGAAGGAAACTGATAACCAGAAACAAGCTGAAATCAATATCTGAGAGAGATGTCATCAAAAAAGAATAAATATGTCATGTGTGTGACCCTGTTTCTGTTATGGTCATTCGCATCCAAAGAGTTTTTTTTTGCGTTAGGACCATATGCCACCACCCTTTCAAACAATTAAATACCTCGCTCCACTAGTATGATCATACAAGTTACATACTGGGGGCGCATAAGGCCGCACATTCGGCCACAAATCTACACCTATCGGACCTCGCATAAGGAAAGCACCTCGCATAAGGAAAGACAAAGACAAAACCTTGATGCAGAATCTTCACAACTGTAGTATAACAAACAGACCACCTCGCAACATAAGGAGAGACAAAAACTTGAACTTGTCTGATGGTGGTGATTGATTTTTTCACTTTGAAATATATTAGAATCCTAAAAAAATCGCATAAGAAAAGACAAAAACTTGTCCCACAAGAGTTGGTTGCGTTCGGTCTCTTCCACGCTTTCGCGGCTCTTCAACCGCAGTTCCTGTTCTATAAGAGTCGTGCTTATAGGCGATTTACAGCAATTAGGCATCGGGCACAGGAGCTCATCGTCTTGCACTAATCCTTAGAGCTCTCGCTAATTCATCCCTGTGGCAATCCCTCAACAATATGCCACAGTATGGGTCCCTTGTATGGGGATTCCTATAGAGATGAGAGATTGATTCCTATAGAGATGGATTAGGGGTAGCCTTAAAATCCATCTGTAATTTTGGAGGACAGCAAAGCAACAAAACAGTCGGAGCAGAAGCGGTAGGGACAATTGTTGTTGCCTTCCTCGTCGAGAGAAATCATCTCCCCCTTGGGATATTCATCGAAGCAGAGGGGACATTGCTGCTGTAATATTAAAGCTCAGCACTCAATGGTCACTGACTCTGAAAGAAATGGGCCCCATGCCTCTCCCTTTGCTTTTCCTTCATTTTCCCCTGTTCTCTCAAGAGGGATCTCAGTGACCCCAATCTCAATGGTGACCATTGATTGAAAGCTGAGCCTTAATAATATGTCTGCAACACTGGTGGATATTAGCGAGGAAGAAGAGGACTCTACTACTGCTTGTGAAGATTCTGGTGGTAGCAATTGAAGTGGATCACGATGATGGTGATGATGATGATCAGGCGATGACGATGATGTTGGAGCCTCCTTACACCGGGATAGAGCTCTCCGATGTTCATCTTTCAGCTGCATCCTGGATAAGTGTGGCAGAGTACTCCCCTGCGATACTCCCCCATTCGTTTCAAGGATGCAGTCAAAGATGAATTAGCTATAGCCATAACAGGATACTAATTTCGTCTTCAGCTTGTCCATCTTCGATCTGAGGTGTTCCTCTGAAGACAGTCTTTTGCGCAGGAATCACGACTTTCTCCTTGTGTGGTTCAGGACTCAATGCTTCTTCTTCTGGGTTCCAGGTAATACGCTTTTTCACCGCCGTTAGCGAAGATTGCTGTGTTGTTATTTGTACACTAGCATGTATAGTCCCTTCCTCCGCGCCGAAAGCATTCGCAATAGCATTCAGTTGTGCTTTGAAGAGTGGTCTACAAGTGGAACTAGAGGTGGAAGATGAAGAGACAGCAGGAGGAGGAGCTCTGGTAAAAGTACCAGATGAAGATGATGAATTTGTTGCAGCTGTATTTCTTCTACCTGCGGATCCTGATCCTGCTGTTTCAATAAACATGTAGTCCTCAGGATTGGCTTGATAGTTCCCTCTACTAGTACTACTAGAACTTGAAGACGCACCTATCAAAGCTTTATTCTGATCTCGCTTGATCTCCATCGAAGCTTGTTCCTCTATCTTCTTCGCCGCCAGTCTCCGCCTATCACGTCCTGAGAGACCCTCCTTGGTGAACTGGTCTGCGTCGGCCTCTTGTCCTCTAGTACCTTTTGGACCTAGTAAAGCACCTGCACCATTAAGCATATTCTTCAAAATGTTCTGAGGACGGCCAGATGTTGAAGGATTAGTAATGGCATTACTGTCACCACTATTGTTCATCACCTTTCTTCCTCTATTAAAACGAGCTTCCGCCAAGCGTTTCGCATTTGCCTGTTCTTTCTGCTGTTCTAGATGCGCAGCCGCTCGCTGAGGATTCACTGTTGCTCCAGCCGGCAATAGCCGGAAATCTCGCACTCGAGCCTTAGGATTGAAGTCTATAATTGTAGCGTTTGCTTTCGGCTCCTGGACGTGAACATTCACTCTACTTTTATCGAAGTCAGAGACCAAATTCGCGACATCTTGACGAAGCAGAGCCGTAGGACGCTTTGCCTCTGCATTATACCCAAACAGCGCCCCAGAGGAATTCGGCACTACTGTCGGAGCGAATAGACGTGTTTTACCAGTTGTGATTTCTACAACAGCACTAGAGCAGGACGCGGCTTCTTCATTAGATTTGTCTAGCTCTACTTCTTGTAGTTTATGATCTTCATGACCAGCCTCAAACTCCGACTGCAATCGCGCGTGTTCCTCTTCTGCACAGAATTCTTCATCCTCTGCGTCCTGCAATGCCCTTGCTAGAAGCTCGTCTTCCTCTTCACAACGAGCGGCGCGAGTTCCCAGAAGCGAAAAGGTCGAGTCCGGCAACGTCGCATCGGAATGCTCCCCGTAAACAACTCCAGGAACCTCTTTGCCAGCCGGAGGCAGAACAGAGGTATAGGCATTTACTGTGGGAGTAGATGCTGTTGGTGAATTACTTCGAGGTCGTGTATTTTCGACAAGCAGTTTCTGCTGTTTCTGTTGTGTTTCTTGTACTCCTGCACTTGTTGGACCTGCAGTATGATAGAAATAGTCTTCATGATCAACCTTGTCCTTCTTCGGATGATTTTGAGTTCGACTATTCGATGAACTCGTTGCGCCAGCACTACTTCTAGTTGTTGTGCCTGTTTTAGCACTCACGGGGTCGTGAAGCTGCTTGCGCTCTTGATCCCTTTTCTCCACTTCTGCCAGTGACTGCGATGTACCCCACCATTCACCATCGCTCGAGTCAAAGATCGTAGCATCAGTCCCAAGTATTGCCGGACCAGTAACCTTTGTAAAGCTGTCCTCTTTGACTACCTGCACGTCTTTCATCCCTTGTTCTATTTCTTGCTGTGCCTTGCCTCGAGGACGCAACCGCCATCCATGTAGACCCCAGTCCGGTTTTACGTCCACAAAGTAGAGTCCCACTCCATCTGTGCGCTCCACGACTGCAGGAATCCATCCCTGGCTTGAAGCGGAATAGTAGTAGACCTGCAACTAGTAGTCATACTTAGGGGTTGCGCAATTACATTCTTCAGATCATCCTTGACTTCTTTCCTATTGGAAAATAAGCCAAGAATGGTAGTGAAGGATGCAATTCGGTAACCCTTAACATACACATAATTCTTCACGGTTTCATTTGATACTAGATCGTGTACTATGTTGAATAAAAACTCCTACAAAAGCTAGTACCAATCAAGACCTGATCTCCAGGCCGAAACTGGCGAACAACTGCGACTGACGACTTTGGTATGATCGTAGACTCTTGTACAGGTGCAGCACTCCCTCCGAAATCGACCTTGGCTAGAACCGGTGCACAAGTCGTCGCCAATACCGCAGCATACTCGCCGGCGGCTGCCGCATCGCCACTTGCGATCACTTTGGAGAGTCCGTCGAGGGATCGCTGCCATGATGCCAGGAACGCTTGGGCCGCTTCCGTGGTCGTGGCTTGTTGATGCGGATCCTCGTTGTTCTTGGTCGAGGAAGACATGTTGTTTAATTCTTGCATTATAGACTACTTGTTTCGTTTTTCTGATGCTAGTGCACAGAGCAAACAAAAAATTGTAGGCGAAGTACTCTCTTTTTCCAAGAGCGATGTGTCAGCTTTCTTTGATTGAAAGTCTAGTCTTTGAAGGTCCTATCATTCTTATGGCCTCGAAAAAAGACAAAGTCCCACGCTTTACCCTTTTCCCGAATTTCTACTCTTCATCTCAAGATCTACTAAGAACGACAAGACTCAAAAGACCACCCTGCTTAATGTACTACTACCCTAATCATTATAATTTTTCCTAGAATTAAACTTTTTCGAAGCATCTCTCCCAAGCCTCCACCTTTGTCAAACATCCAGATCCACCCAAGCGGAGCCCCATTCCAACACGAAGTCCAGTGGTTGCTCCGTCTTCGCTCTCTTCGCCTTCAGTGAGTGAGAACTGTCTTTTCTTTCATTTATAGAGCTAGAGGCGTTTCTTCTTTGTCCAGTGCTTCTAAAGATGTTCTCTGTCTATTCTCCTCTATTTTTTGCATCTTTATTACATCTCATTCTAGAAAAAAAAACATTATTTAGACATTGAAATACCTTCACATCATTATAGTTCTCATCTCCTGATCAAATTAGATAGACGTAGTTTCAGTTTTTTAGTCGTGGTTAGCGAAAAAAGTTGAGCGTTTGAAGCAGAAAAACAAGGGCTCTTGGGTAAAGTAAGTGCATACTATCAAGCTAAGAAAACAAATAGTGCTAGTGTTACAAAAATGATGAATAAAAACTGAGTGAATAATGTGGATTTTGAAGAAAAATTAACTGAATCCTCACTAATCTTCGTCACCCCTTCAAACTTTTCTGAGCGAAGTCCTTAACGTCTGGATCAGTATCTTGCGCCAGTCTTTGCAGAAGTGTCCTCGCGTCATTCACTGACGCACTGCTATTATCGCCAGATATGATACTAGGTAGCACTTTGGCTACGTTAAACCGGACGTTGGGGACTGTGTCGCCGCCCATTGCGAATATTCGTTCGAGGAGGCGGTCCTGATATGAAGAAGATGCGTTCTTCTAACTTTTGCATAGATTGGGGTGATCGTACATTCTCAGTACAAGTGCTAAGATTTTCCTAATCCTAATGACTCTCTTACAGCTAAAAGCACCTTGGTCGCCCCCTGCTGCAATTTGTCGCTTATCCTCGCGAGTGCAGTAATTGCGGTTACTCGCAGTAGATAGTTACTGTTGTCAACTAGTGTAGCTTCGATCTGCGGCACTGCGTGCTCTTCTGCCCACGAGACGCCCAATAGTTCCGTCAGCTTCGCTATGCTCTCGCTGGCTGCTTCGCGTACTAGATACACTGGATCCGCGAGCCAGTCATTGAAAGTCCACACAGGAAAGTCATCCACTAATCGCAAAACACCTGCTAGAGTTGTCGTGCTCTCTAGAACCGCTAGTCGGACACGCCATTGTCTATCCGCTGCAAGCTTCTTCAACGCGGGGAGGAGGTTCTGTGGGGTTGAAAGGGGAAGAGATGCGCGCCATCTTGGTGCGCGTGAATAAGTAAAAGTATTCCTGTTTGTGTTGTGAGGAAATAACTTTTATCCGAGTGAAGAGGCAATCTCATTCCCCAACTAGAAAAGAACAATAGTACATCCTTCAACGCCGTCACTTTGATGACCTTCGCTAGGTCAGGCAACGACGCGATAAGAGTCAACCTCACTTCGCTGGCTTCATCCCGGATCAGCTCTAGAAAGAGTCAGATTAGATGAGGACGATCTTCATAATTCCAGAAGGGTTAGGCGGGTGGATGCCTCTTAATTTCATGGGAAACCTTGAAAAAAGTTCTAGATTAAATGTCGATACGACAAGAACAACAAAGAGTCCCTTGATGCAGTTTCACGTGCACGAACGGGCACAAATGACATAACTTCACCAGTGGGTCCACCGTCAACTGCTCTCCTACTACAGGAGCTGTGGCCAAAACACTTCCAGCAACTGCTACGCGGACCGTCAGGGGCGCTTCTGGCTTCACCATTTGTTCTAGAAAGAGTTCTTTTATTGAATCTAGAAGCTCCCGCTGCAAGGCTCGACTGGTCTCGGTGACATTCGATAAGTCGGGCTCTTCCAGTGGAGTTAGAGATGACGTCGTGGTGCTGCGTAGTGCGTTTTAGGAGGCCTCATTCCAAGTTATTTCTAAAGCGGAGATACTTATATGTACCAAAAACTCACTCTTTTGATGGGCGAGCAGTGCTCACACTATCAACTACTACGCACACCTCTACAACTAATCACTCATCATAACTTCTTCGCATCTTCTCCTTGTCGTCTTATTGGTGTACTGTTTCCGAAATGCACTAGCACTTTCGCTACTTCAGGAAGCTTTCTTACCGCCAGCGCTTTGACGTCCGGCTCTTGGTCTCCCAGTAGAGGAGGGGTTAGATGGAGGCCACACCAATTCGCTCACGCTCAGTATGTTTTCCTTTTCTTCTGTGCCTAGGACTCCCTAAGAGCAAGACAAATACACAACCGTCAACATTTGCAAGAACTCTAACAGTAAAGCTGAAAAGTGCCACCAAGGTGAGGGCTCAGCTCGCTGGTTGTGTGCACAGGTATATTCGCTATGTGGTACCGGTTTACCAAATAAACCCACAGCCAGAGAGTAGGACCCTAGCTATTTTATATCTACTGCGAACCTTTATAATAATGATATCGTTGCCATACCACATAAACCTGCTTCAAGAACTGAGTCTGAAACCTCTCCTTCCCCAGTGCCGCACAGACTTCTGCGCAGTTCTCCGCTGCCATGTAGCGGACACGCCAACTCTGGTCCTGCACACACTTCAACAGCAGGCTGGGCTCAAACTCTGACGACGAAGAGAGACTCTGGTGCACTGCAAGGAGATTGCTGGGTTAGAGGTCGCGCGCGACTGAGTCAGTGGTCGAGAGTGGCTTTCTACTTCATACAAGGCACTTGTTCTGTCTCGAATTACTTGTCTTAGACTTAGGCTGTAACCAACTTAGATTGTAACAAGTGTGCCCCATGTGCGGCGCCGTAACCTATCGACAAGACGCGCACCGAGTCCTGATTATCCTCTGCCAGCAGTCCTAGAAGCTCGCCTACCCTGTTAAGCGAAGTAGGTGTTCGATATATTATGTGATATGGGTGGAAGAGCGAGATCGTGTAGAACCAACTACAGGTCTGGATCATGAGGAGTCCCAAACTATAAAGTACGTCTGTTTCCGTCTCGCTCTTAGTGGCTCGTTTGACGTGAACTGAATCGCCTCTGCTATTTGTGGCAATGCATTCGCAGCTGCCCGCCGTACCATAGGCGTGTCGTCTTTCACTAGTCGGCAATAGGCAGATAGGAAATTGTCGGAACTGTTCAGATCGAGGTTAGAGTGAGAAGAGAAAGCGTCGGTTAGCCCAACTACTTCTATCGCAGTCAGCAATGGCGGTTATTCAAAAACTGCCATAAGAGAGCTCGCTCCACTGTCTGCTGTTTTTCTGATCATCGTCGGTAACAATCCCAATGCCGCAATCCGATTTGTGAACCAGTCGTGGCTTGCCAACCTGTGCACTAAAGCACTCATCTCGCCTAGTAATATGTCTAGAGGCATGGCTTCCGCTATCTGCTTGAGAGCATGCGTTGCGGCACTGCGGACCAGGGGTTCCTCCTTGTTCGCCAGCTCCTCCAACGCTGGCAAAAGGGCATAAGCATAGCTGCAGCCCCCTATTTCCGGAAGCAAATTCGCTATCTCACTCGACAAAGCTATCAATTAGAGAGAGACCACATGCTCAAGATCAGTTCCTTCTATCATCCCTCCTGTCTAGTAAAGAAGAGTTGCCCTTTTCCTATGTATATGAATGAAGAACTTCCCCATCACTGACAACATAAATCAATACATCATCCTCATCGTCGACTGCTATTTCTGCGGCTAAGAAAGGCACTAGTTCCTCCCTCGTCCGCTCTGGGCCTAAGGCTACTGCTATAGTCCGCAGACTCTGCACTGCTTTCAACCTAGGTTGTAGCAGATCCGATCGAAGCTCGTCGATGAGCACCGCCACTGGATAGAGGGAGTCGCTCCTTGTGTCGCAAGGTTGCTCCATTTTGTCGGGGGAGGTTAGACTTAGACGATAGCACGAAATAGCCCCAATGAATGACCTCAACATCAAGTATTCACATACAACGCACGGCCACCTTCCCTTCAAGGTGGAGACTTGCTCACTTCAAGCTATTTACATCACAATAGCTGACTCAACTGGTAGTCGAGATCCACAGTATTAATCCTTAACTTCATCGTGCTCCCAGATGCTGCGGTCGTGCCGGCAATCAAGCCCCCTCGGAATCCGTCAACGACACCCATATTTGACACTTTCACTCTTTGACGGTTGCCTTGATGACGATGTTAGTCGATTCGGATTGGTTGCCTTGATATTAACATAGGATATTCTAACTGCACTTGCAACTATAATTTCTGAACAAAAGCGCTCCCGGCTTAATATCATAGCTTTTTATCATGTGGCTAATTCGGTCCTGTCGAAGGCTTTTCTCTCGCACGTCCTTAATTCCACCTAGGGCTTATAATATTTCCGATGGCTCATGTACTAGTCAGACGCGTTTCCTTCATCACTTTTGAATGTTCTTCAAAGCACAGCAGAGAAATTCCTTTTCAACCTTTGTGTCATCTACTCACCACCTATCCATCGTGCATCTAATAAGGAGAACAACAGCAGCACTTTTTTGCTCCCTTTGGGAGACGAAGAGGGTTCTCGCTTTTTACTAGGAGCAGTTTGTGAGTGAGAAAATTCCCTTTGCGCGACGAGTATTCGTCCTAAATTATTCACACACGACACGCGCCCCCTATACACAATGCGGGTCTTCATAGCAACAGTATACTAGACACCAAGCGCAGTGTCCTCTTCGAGGTCGTTCAATTTTCAGGAAAAAGGAGCAGGGGAGTCCGCAACTCCGTGTTTTGTCATACATTTCGGTTACAAGCAGAAAAAGCTCAAAATGAGTGCTGGAGTAGCTCGAAATCTTTAATTTTGTGGAAGCCCTAGGGGGGCCATGATCACTACAAACATGATCGTCACTATCACAACTGGAAAATCAATGATAATAATAATGCGGGGCCTTTCTAAAAATGAATTTGTTGAAAAGTTTCAATCGTAATTACATCAAGTCAAGTAATCACAACTAATATTTTTCTCAAAGCTTGTCCACAATAATGGCATAAGAAACGCACAAGCGAACCCGCTACAACCGGTTTGCAGTGCAGCGCGAAGTCGCGTCTTCACCAAGACGGTAGTTAGTCGTGGCGACCTGAGCAGAGCGAGGAAGGTAGAGGCAATCGTATAGCTTATTAGTAGGTAAAAACATTTGCCATAATGATCTTCGATGTCCTCCCAGAACTATCATCAATCACCATTAAATCTATAATCAATCAGATCTACCCAGCACAGGATTTCTTCATATTCATTCAACTTCCACATAATAATAATCCACTCACTAACAAGAAGAAAGAATAGTAAACCGTGAAGATAATCAGGTAGAAGACCTTAGCTCTATTAAAGAAGAGAGTGGTCTACTACATCTTTAGAACAACGGACCGAAATTTCACTTTATTATAAAGAAGGGAATTTACTACTTCTCTACGAGATTTTTCACTTCTAAATAAAGAAGAGAGCCCACTACCTCTCTAGAACAACAGAGTTTTTTCACTTCTAAATAGGGCATACCGGATCCAACCTTCCTTTTCGAAGGATCTGTCTGCGCCTCAGCTTTGACTTGGAAGGAGAAGCCGGCGCCGTCGTCTAGGAACTCGTCCAACTCTTCGATACAATCTTGCTCTTGCCGTTAGAAGATAAGTATCAAAAAAGTAAGTATTTCGATTGCTCCTGAAGACGCATGATGTCTTCTGTATATCACAGAAGTAGTAGTAGTAGTAGTAGTAGCAATAGTAGTTGCATTAGTGTTCCACTAGTATGAGTAGTAGTACTAGTAGAAGTAGAAGATACGCGGAAGATAGAGCGCACGTTTAATATCGTCCACGTTCGTGGTATAACAAACTCAAACATTTCGTGCTTCTGTGTGTTCTGTGGCCATAAGTGTAATTTCCTGTCTGGAGCACTCTCACAAAGTAAGACTGCCACTCCTCTTTTGAGATCTTGTCGTCGTCGTTTTCGTCCATATCTTTTAACATTTTCTTTGCGGCGGCACCGGAAAACCTGTAGTAGATGAAGGGGGATGGAAATGGAGTGAGAAGCTCCATAAAAGCTCCAGAAAAGCTATGCGTAGTTTTGTTTTTGGCTCTTCAGCAGCCATTCACGTCTGCCAGTTTTCCTGGTAGGCCCACACCTAACCTAACCTAATTGATGAAGCTGAGTCAAGAGCTAAGAATAGTCAATCGGCCGATCACTGAGTTATCCATTTCTGTGATGAATATAGAGGCTCCCCTTGTAGTTAAGTACCTTTTAAAAACTTTCACGGCCTCGTCGATATCGACTTCCCCACTATTGTCGATGTCGATTTTTCGAAATGACGCCTGCAACTTCTCTCTCAGCCGTTCACTGAGCACCACTGCTGCAGTGCTTTTCGAACCACATGCACCCATCTTTTTTGTTTTTGAGATGAAAAATGGGTGATCACTCGTTTTTTGAGTTAGATAGTTTTTTTTTTCGAGACTGAGACTGAGGTAATAAATACGTGATAGAAAGTCAAGAAGTAGTAGAGGTTATAGTTACGAAGTTACAGTAAGTTCTTACAGAGAGTATTAAGAAGGTCCTAAGATCGTGCTCGATATTCCAACATCTTGACGTTCTCACAGACAAGAACTCAGAATACTTGAAGTTAACTTGAGCTTGCTACTTGAGGGAAGGCCGTTGCACTTCTATTCTTTTCACACGGAAAATCTGTGAAGAAGTGTTCTACTTCACACGATTTCCATCGCATTTGACTTGAACGCTTTTAACAATCGGCACAAACAGAGACTAAATTTACGTCGTTGCAGCCGTTTAAGCCGTAAAGTTGTTCAAGTAGGGAATAAAAACTCACAATGGCGGGTTTTGAAGGGTGTCTATGAGCCTGATTTTCTATTTCTTGCTTCGTTCTTCTCTCCTCAACATTGGTCGGCACACAGAACAGGCTCTTTTTCAAAGAAATTGCAACCTTCCCTCCTCAACAGAATTGAAAATACTGACAGACTCAGTTTTTCTTCGCTCTAAAAATGTTTACATTGACGCAGCCTCACTCTGGCTTTCTGTTTAAGTGTGTTCACAAAATTTTGTGAACACACTTATAATGAAGAAAACAAAGCCACGATAAGCTCCGCATTACTTTTCGAGTGTGGGTTTCTCTTTCAATGGCGAGCACTAAGAGGGATCGGGGAATTACTGACTTATAATGAAGACCGCCCGGAACGCCTTGCCTCATGCGTAGACAAGGAGCATTATAAGCTCAAAAAATATACTTATGCACGAGCTTAGAAGTTCTAGCGGACTTTCTCAAGTAGAACTAGAAGTCGCCGTCGTAGTTTCAATCCATGGTATTTGTTCTCCATTCTCTTTGGCAAAGGCGTGCATTCCACGAAAGATACTTAACTCGTCTCCTAAGAGAACTTTGTAGGAACTACCGGCTGAACTCCCGCCTAGAAGGTGTTGTTCGCTAAGCTCTGCCTCGAGTCGTTCTCTTATGCCCATAATCCTCGCACCACCGCCAACGACGATGATATTCCTTTTACCCTTACAACTACTACTGATAGCATTAATACAATTGCTAGAGGACGGGCTAGCACTGCCCTTCATACCAGCTTTCTTTGCCACTGACCCCACGAGCTCACTCAAAGTTGGCAAGCACATTGCCTCATTGGACGAAGAAGAAACCACGCGATCTGCAGGACTGTCATTCGCAGCAGCACTAGATGTTCCAGTAGCCGTCGGCAGCCCTCCTACTGTTCGCGTTTTGTGTCTGGCTACCTGGCGAGGCCTAAAGATAAACTCCCCAAGTTGATAGCATGCCCACTCTTTCAAAACCCGATAGTGACTGCCATTTTTCCGCTCTCGTATATCACGGAGAGTTTCTGGATCTTGGGAGAAGTCATAGGTACTAGTAGACCATTCGAATCTTTGAGGAGCTAGCTTTCGCCGTTTGGTTGTCGCTGTACGAGGTAATGACTCTGCTCTATTAAGTCGTCCTTCTTCTTCTTTATCATCTCCTTCGTCTTCATCTCCGCGAGGTGTACCTGCTTCTTCATCATCGGAGAAATGACAGCGCGCACATCGTTGTTTCCAAATCTCGACATTGTAGAAAAAATTACTGATCGTCGACTCTCCATGCCTGAGCTTCAGATGCTCTTGCAGAAGTCTCGTCAAGCAATACCCTCCCAAATGAAATGCCCGCACACTGCTTTTAGGACACCACTTCCCGTCTATAACCACTCCCACGCGTGCTGACCCAAAGCCAAGATCTACTATGATGTTGGTAGTGCCCGAGCCTCTCGCTCTCGCTGTCAAGTTGGGCGATGTAGTGCCGCTAGGCTTTTCCTTGTACTCTTCCGTATCCTCCGTCTCTCCAAGCTCATGAACCCGATCTAACATCGGATCCCACGCGGCCATCAAAAGATCTGGCACAACAGCATATCGCGAAAACGGTCCATCAGTGAACATCTTGTCCCCTAACTTCTCTACCGCGGAGTAGTTTATCATTGCTGCACGTCGGAGAAGTGTCTTACTGGATAGAGGATTTCGTTGAAGACGAATATCTGGCGTCGATGTTCCGTCAGCATTCTTTTTATGAGCAGTCGGGCTATTGCTTGAAGACGAACCCCCTGCTTGACTAGAAGATACAGAGACAGAGGCTGATGGTGATGCAGAGATCTCTGCTGTGCCTCTACCACTTGTGGCATGATGGGTACTAGGATTTCCACTCATCGAATCAGCACTACTATCTCCAATCAGAAAAAACTCTCCGGAGCAAGCTGGTACAGCAACTATTACTCGTGAAGTACTAGAGATATGCTTGCCGTTCCTAGCATATTCTGCCAACGCGGATTGCATAATATGTCGCTGAAGCCGTAAATCTTCGTACACGTCGGCGCGTTTTGGGAAGAAAAGCCTCACACCAAGTTGGGCATCGAGGAAAGATTGAAGGGGTTCCCAACAGAACAAATTGTGCGGATGTGATTCGATGAGTCCAAGCTGGTTAGGGCCGATCCGTGCTTTGGTTTGTGCGCCGTCAGTAGGGTTCTTTTTCCCAGAGATGTTGCATGAGGCACCACAGGCATCGGTAGTTGTGGTCCCTAATCTTAAATGCCAAGCACCCAGATCCATAAAGAAAGTAGGGGCTGAATCTTTTGGCGACTTCTTCTCCGCGATGTTCTTTTTCTCTGTCACAGCATGGTCAGGTTTGGGTTGCACTGAGCTGTGCCTTCCAGTCTTTGTGGGAGTGGGCTTCATTTTTGAGTAGAGATAAGCAAGCGCTCACCGTTCTAGTTCCTGCCAAACGAAGATTTGAAAAGTAATTTTTGCATGCTGAAACGCAATAAGAAGTAGAAAAACTAATCGTATCTGAACATAAAATCAATCAAACTTTCGAGTGCGTCCGGACGGGTCACTTAATCACAAACTTTTCGTGCCAGATTACCATGACGGAACCTGTGGCTATGGGCGTCTGAGGAACACATCATAATTTTTGAGAAAGAAGATCACTGCGAACTTTCCCTGTGACTGCATGACCATCGTGAGGACTAAAAGGACATTTCTACTGTGCAAAAGTAAACGCGTCACCCCGTGGAAGGACAGGAGGCCGCAAGTTTGAAGTATGTCGAAGAACCCATATTCATCCGCTGCGCTCCGACGGCGGTGGACGGCACAGTGATCATCATTGCATTTCTACTTTCCACACAGAGTTACTAGAGCAAAAGGCCCACACTCACCTTTCATTTATTTCATGAGTGGCTCAGTGCAATATTATCGTGTGGGCATTTATTCATCGAAGTAAGACCATCCAGAAGGCGCGAGAGTTGATATCCTCGTAGTATGAAAATCAATGGCACGTGCAAATTGCGCACGGCGAATAAACGAAAACACTCTAGTCAGCATTGTTTATTGTTGTTTTTACTGCATTCGCCTGTTCTTCGCTTTTAACTATTTTTCCCTATTAGTTGTAGTAGTTGTAGCACTAGGTCGTACCTACACTAGCTACGGATCTTGAATTTAATAACTGCATTTGAAATTCTGCTGCAAAGTCATAAGATGAAGATGTCTAGTAGTTTTATACCAGTTATGAACCCCATACAGTGACCTTACAGTATCCTTTAATTATGAAGGCCCGAAGATTTAATTTCTCCCTGATTACAAGCTACAACGAGTGCCGCCGTCCTTTCCGCTTAAGACGCCCCAGTCTTGTTCTGAAGCGCTAGCGCTTTCTCCTTCTCACTTTGGGAGCCAGCTGCGAAGTAGATTGCGCCACCAAATGCAACTTTGTTCACGAAATCCGCTACGAGAAGTTAGAGAAAGAGAGAAGCAGGATGTCGTTCGTGTGTGCCTTTACTGGAGGTTAATCGGAGTCGGCAACGAAACACGAATGGGCACGGAAACTACAAGCCTTGACAAGCACTGTCAAGTAATCGACTTCAATAAGTTAACCACTCAGTTCTTGTAAAAAGTAAATAAAAGGGGCGCGCACCACAATATTCCTTATTGCCACCTCATAATGTTGGCGGAGCAGACGTAACTAGCAAAAACAAAAACCGAAAAAAGAAAAGTCAGGCAAGTACTTATCTACTACTAACTAAGCGCCGGTGCTGTCGTGGTCCTGATAATTGTAGATAGCATTCAGCGCATAATTGTAAATAGCATTCAACGTTTCCACTTCGCTATCGCCACCCATGTTGCCTGCTCCGTAGCCGATAGGATACACTTATACACAATAAAGCAGTTGCATTCCGCGCGCTCGCCTTATTTTACGCCTAATTCATTTTATTACACAATACATAGTACTAAATATTCTTTTCTTACTCGCATAGAAGTCGACTCATCTTCTGATCGAATGCAGCCAAGTCAAAGATGTTATCATTGCAAGTAGTCACTTGCAAACAATGATTTGAATCACATGCACCACATGTTTGTGTTGGTTTGCCTTTGCTCCCTCCTCTACTTATGAATGGGAATGCGGTCGTGTCTCGGAAGGCGCTTCGGAGATTGATACAACGACTGCGACAAGGCTTGCATGAGCATAGCTGCCGCACTTCTGCTCTCAAGAGTAGGACCGCAGGAGGCTGAGGCAGGATCAACATATCCCATAATGCTGGTGGAGCATATCTAACTAGAAAAAACAAAAACCGAAAAAAGAAAAAGCAGGCAAGAACTTATCTACTACTAACTAAGCGCCGGCGCTGTCGTGGTCCTGTCATAATTGTAATTCCCTTTTCTTGACGTATTTCTTTTTCTTCCTCCAACTGCGTGTCAACGATTTTTACCGTCTGTTCTACCGTTTCCCGAAAATTCTCTCACTTCATGCCCAGAAAAGCACTTCCTTAGGGGTCGTGCTGGGACTAGCTGCTCTGCAGGAATGATGTTAATGTGTCCTTTTGATGCTCCTGCGTTCTTTTGATGATCGGATGCCTGGGTAAATGTAGACGAAAGACTTGGCGGAAGTTCTTGAGCAGGTTGAGAGGTCCTCTGCTGAGCAGATGCCAGAGTCGGACGTCCACTTTGTCCTTGTTGTGCTATAATGTCCTTGGAATACATGTCGTGGCACATGCGTTCGACGAGCAATTTTACCCAGGAGTCGGTCTCTGTGCGGTACGCAGCCTGATCGCCACTGCATGAATGACGCCACCGATTGAGAGGGTCAACAAGAGAAGGCCGATCTTTGGACCGAAGACGATCTTTGGACCAAGGGCGATCTTTGGACCAAAGAAGATTTTTGGACCAAACGCGATCTTTGGACCAAAGACGACCTTTGGACCAGAGCAGACGACCGCGGGACCACAGGCGACCTTGGGACCAAAGAAGCAAGACCTGTGGACCAGAGGCGACCTCTGGACCAAAGACGACCGCTGGACCAAAGGCGACCTTTGGACCAGAGGCGACCTTTGGCCCAAAGTGAGGCGACCTCTGGACCAAAGTCAGGCGACCACTGGACCAAAGTGAGGCGACCTCTGGACCAAAGTCAGGCGACCTCTGGACCAAAGTAAGGCGACCTTTGGACCAAAGGCGACCGCTGGACCAACGACGACCGCAAGACCAAAGGCGACCGCTGGACCAAAGACGACCGTTGGACCGCCGACCTTTGGACCATAGACAACCTTCAGACGAAAGACCGCTGGACCAAAGACCTCCGACAATCAAGACTGACAAGAGACCCGAGACGGCAGACATCTGACGAACGACCTCTGCCAGAAAAACTGCCGCCCGACCTGTGGCGAGAGGCCCGCGACGATAGCGAGGACCTTTGACAAAGGACGCCAGTCCGACGAACGCGTTCAGCCCGACGAAGGAACAGAATCAATCCCACGAAGGGAAGACGTTCCGAAAAGGAACAAAAGCAAGACGAGATGCACCATCATCTTGCTATACTATGGCCAGTTACTTACATGTCTATATTTCTACACTACTCATCTTACCCTAAGGCGTCATTGTGAGTTAGAGTACGAAAAGGGAGTCGCATGTTGTTATTGCAAATTCTTCGTCAAAATTTCGTTGTACAACGTGGGAGAGTCCCGAGAATGGTTTGATCAAAGAACAGCACCAACACCAGCTTGCTGACGTCCATGTCCATGTGGGCGACATGAACACCTTTTCCTCATGTCAGTTCTTTTCGTTTTGCTTCTTAGGTACACTATAGATTGGAGGGGAATCCAATGATTTGCTGGTGGGGAAAAGGCCCTCCTGCCTTACATTTTTCATGTTGTCGCGTAGGTACGACTTCATTGAGTTCTGTGTAGCATGTTGTGTGGTCTTCCCGCCCTATGCTATTTTCATTCGAAAATATGATAACTAGACTCCAATAAGTCAAACTACAGTCTTCAACTTTTAGTCTCTGTCAGTCTGCGAAGCTGATCATGTTGCTGTGCGTGGCTGTATCCCGACTACTCAAAACGAAATACTTCTGTGTAATCCTATCGTCAATTTCCCCAGTTCTATGCAGTGAGTTCCCTCGCGATGCAGTTCCCCGGGGCACTCTTTCATATGGAGCCAAATGACAAGAACTAAATGTCAAGAAATAAAAGAGGGTATGAATAGTGCGTCGCTGCCCTGTGGTCCCTGTTTGATGATATATCAACTTACTTAGACGAAAGTAGATGAAAAATACTTCCCAACGAATATGGAATACCACTATATGGAGCTAAGGAGTCGCTCATCTTGTATCTTTGCTATTCAATAATTATCGATTCCACGACAGTCTACACTCACCGCTAGCTAGCATGCTGCGTGTAGAAAGTCTGTGGTTTGAATACGTCGTCATTGGCAGAAAAAATAGAAATTTTAAGTCATTAAGTATAGTCGTTAGGTATCTGTTATCTTAGGACATGTTATCTACGGAATGCTATTCTCTGTATCTGTTATCTTCGGAGTAGGACATTGATTCACTCTACTGCTAAAAAATTTCAGTAACTATGGACTACTACGAATTTCTGGTTGTGCTTATTGATAGGTTATGATCATAGGTTATAGATGTCTTGTTCTATACGATGAAGATGATGGAATGCTATTACTTAGTTAAACATGTTCGATTATGTCAATGAAAACAATGAATATGAAAAAATTACAACGTTTATGTTAGAATATCTTCCCACCCAATGATGTTTCGATCCTTGTTACTGTAACCACGTATATGCTAGTAACCCAATCATTTCTACTTTGATCGCTTGCATTAACTCCCTCTCGTTTCTTATCGTCCTCTTACCGTTCTTTCCTGAAACACGACGGGGCCACCGTGCAGCTTACCTTGTCCTGGACTCGGGCTTCGTGTTGGAGAGACTGCTGGGGACAGTGAGCGCGTTGGCGACACGGGTGGGGACATGGAGCCGCTGCGGTCGAACATCTGCGAATGATCACCTCCTACGCTTGTGCTTAAGCCCATGGCGCTCTGGCCCTGCTTGCCGCCGGAATCTTTGATCAGCTTTTGCATCATGGAGTCACAAGAGAGGGTAAGTGGAGTCTGCCCAAACGTGTCCTCGCCGTTAATTTCTGCCTTGTAGTCGAGGAGCATCCGGAAGATACGCGGATGCCCAGCACGAGCGGCGAAGTGGAGAGGCGTACGACCTGGGAAAAGTATGATTGGTATTGGTATTGGTATAATTGGCATTGGTATTGATTGTGGATGGAAGTAGTAGAGCTTCTTATTGGCTCGGTTTTCAGATGGACTAGTTGCATGGTCGGATACTCATGAAATTCCAATACTCTATTTAAATACTATTAAAAATCCCCGAACACTCTTCGCCTTTAATGTGAACACTAAAGGACCTTTAAGACGCCTTTAATGTGAATGCTAAAGGATTCCCCTCCCCTTTAATGTGAACACTAAAGGACCCTTAAGGCGCCTTTAATGTAAACACTAAAGGAC